AAAGCCTGACAGATATGGTGATACAGTATTTCCAGCGATGCTTTGGTTAGGCACTAAAGCAGAGTAAGGATGATGAAGAAGGTGTGCGAAATGGTCTGAAGTCTTTTGTGCCCCACGGTTATGGTGACCATTCTTCCTGTAGCAACTGGTGTAGCTACTTAAAAAATTCTGCATCCTACAAACACAGAGGCCTTCCCCATGGCAAGGATCTGATGGACAAAAGCTTGAGGCAGTCTCTGGAAAAGATCCTAGAAGTAAGTACAGTGTACATGTATGGTGGAACAGCTTGCTCGTCACAAATTCAATTCCCACCATTTTACATGTAGTAGAGGAACACAACTCTTAGAAAATAGTGTTAGTGCTTATGATTGTATTCTAATTAATAACTGCAAGGGATAAAGTTATAAGTGTTAGGGGACTATCAACCTCTTTCTCAGTTTCACAAGCTTTTATGAGATACCAAATTTTAGTGAAGAAAAATCATTTGTTTCTTCAATTTAGATTTATGCTTTAAATGCCAAGAAGCTAGCTGATCAAACCAGGTAAATGAAGCACTCAGTAACACTATAGGAAGCAAAGCTCCAAAGATCAGACACTACGAATCTAGAGAAAGCAATGACTTCCGGTGTTGCATGTGCTGTTGGCCAAAAGAACTCAGGTCAATCTAATGTTTCTCAGGTGAGCAGATATAATATTATGAGCATTTTGGACACTTCCCAATTTGTGAGATCCATAATTTGAACATTACACATTATCCACCTTGTCCAGTGTTGTACTACCAGTACTTTGCATATCATAAGTCACAAAAGAAAAAAAAAAACAAATAAAACATCACTATATTATAATTTAGAATATGGTTTTCACTAAGACTGGTGAATTTCTCTTAGGCTTTCATGAAGACACAACTATTTGCAGGTTTCATTTCTTTAAAGTTTGCAAAGAAAATGGACAAGAAAACTCTAAGTTTGAAAGAGAGACAGAAAACAAGAGAGTACAAGAAGAAAAGAATTGAGAAGAAAAAGAAGCGGTTGAAAAAGACAAAACAGCTTGAGAACATAGAAGGACAACAGTATAGTTGTGGAATGGGCTTTGATGGACACGATGCTGCTCAGGAAATTTCAGCACCAGCTGCAGCCTCAAAGATTGAGAAAGTATCATTAACCAAAGACTACCATCAAATCATATTTGATTTGGAAACATCTGGAAGGGGTAATTAGCTTAGTTTGCAGGGTGGAGTTTAGCAAAAAAGTAACAAAGACTTATGTTC